CCACACACGGCCTAGGGGCGGGTCCCCATCTCGCACCTCCCTGGGGAATGGTGCAGTAAATGGAGACAGGCCACCCCTGCGAGTTATAACTGTGTCCATCCCGCTAGAAAAGAGCCAGCCAAAAGTTAGTGCTCGACAATGTGTACCAACTCCAGAGCGGGTGTCTCCCCAGCTTGCATTTGGAAGTGTAGCAGGGCCCGGTGAGGTGCCTGCTACATCTGGCAGGCATGAGGCGATTCACGGGCGACCGGTGCAGTAAATGGAGACAGGCCACCCCTGCGAGTTATAACTGTGTCCATCCCGCTAGAAAAGAGCCAGCCAAAAGTTAGTGCTCGACAATGTGTACCAACTCCAGAGCGGGTGTCTCCCCAGCTTGCATTTGGAAGTGTAGCAGGGCCCGGTGAGGTGCCTGCTACATCTGGCAGGCATGAGGCGATTCACGGGCGACCCCACACGAGCGGGACTGGCCGCAGGCCGCGCACCCCGCACGGAGCCGCCGGCTCCCCGGGGTAGCAGGAGACGGTGACAAGTCTCGAGCTGGTTTCTAGCCAACTGTAATTTGCAAGTGTAGCAGGGCCCTGAATGAGAATGAGAATGAGCTGTCGACTGCATGTTACATGTATTACACAGTTAACTGGTTAATCACACAATAAATATAGGCCAGTCACACATGCAAAAAAACCCCAAAACAGGCTACAAAGTGCCTGTGCACTTGTGCAGTTGTGAATTCACCAGTTAATTCACAATTAACTGGTGAATCCCACAGTGCATTTAGATCTGCCACACCTGCAAAGTCATGAGCACTTGATAACAATGTCCATGGGGCTATAGAAAGAGCCAGCAGCTGTTAAGTTAGTGCATGAAAATATGTAACAACTCTAGAGCTGGTTTCTTTCTACCCAGCTTTCATTTGAAGTGTGTAGCAGGGCCTGACTGAGAGGTGTACATTCAACTGTCATCACTATGGGACTAATGACAATATGGTTGACTATATTTTGCTCTGTTTGTTGTGTTTTATTTATTTTATAAATTAGCTAGCCAATCAATGCACATGACAATAGTTGTATTTGTTTTTTGCTTTGATCTTAAACTGAAAATACAGCCCTAGCTCCCCTAGCACATTAATAAAACTAGTACAACCTGTGCTTTGCTGCAGAAAACTATCTGATTTTTAAAATTTGTTATAATCTTTTGTCATAATCATTATGACGTTTGCTTTATGGTTTATGTAACATTGCCTATTCCAACTTCAAAAGCTTTCAGACTATCGTTTCCATCTGCTTGCTTCTCTTGTAGACTGTAATTGAAATTTTTGACATGGGTGAGCTACCAACCCCCATGATCTGGCCTCCAGATCTGGCCTCCGGAATAAGTCATTTAATTTATAAAATTTTTAGTTTTTCTTTAACTGGAGAAACACAGACTTTAGAAAGTGAGGGTTGGAAGGGACCTCAGGAGGTCACATCTAGTCTAACCCCATGCTCAAAGCAGGACCAGTCCCAATTAGATCATCCCAGGCAAGGCTTTGTCTAGCCGGGTCTTAAACCTCCAAGGATGGAGAGTCCACAACCTCTCTGGGTAACCTGTTCCTTGCTTTACTACCCCCCCTGGTGAGAGAGTTTTTCCTCATATCTAACCTCAACTTCCCTTGCTGCAACTTGAGACCATTGCTCCTTGTTCTGTCATCTGCTGCCACTGTCTAGCTCTATCCTCTTTGGACCCCCCTTCAGGTAGTTGAAGGCTGCTATTAAATCCCCTCTGTCTCCTCTTCTGCAGACTAAATAAGCCCAGTTCCCTCAGGCTCTTCTCATAAGTCATGTTCCCCAGCCCCCTCACCATTTTCATTGCCCTCCACTGTGTGATGAGGCACCACATCACCTGTACCCCGCTTTTCAAAAAATGTAAATCTGCCCATGGTGGGGGCAGAGGGCTGGGGACCCCCCTTCCAGAGACAGGGACTCCTCCTGACTCACTTGGGGCCCCTTGTCCACTGAAGCCACTCGCAGCTGGGGGCAGCATCTGCTCCCACATCCCAGTGCCAACACTGGCAGTTTGGGCTGGGCACTACGCACAGCCATCCTGGCCACCCCCTCTGCCCCCACACACTGGGTTTCTGCCACAGGCTGGGGGCATCTACCCGGGTACGCTCCTGAGCTGCTGTGTGGGGGCTCAGGCCTTTAGTGCCATGCTTCACAGCACAGGTGCCAAGGTAACACAGGGTAAATACCAGGTTGTGGGCTCTCCGAGTCCTTTGCCACAGAAGAATCAGTGTGTTGGTTTTCTGCAGGCAAGCAAGCAGAGAAAGCCAATAGCTGGCATTATTTCAAGGGGGGCTTTGAGGCTAATAGAGTCTCAAAAGACTGGGACTTGGAGGCTGGCAGCAGGCAGGCACAGCAAGGAAAGCCGGGGGGGCATCACTGCCTCAGCAGAGCTGGGAGCAAGTCCTTCAGGCTGCACGTGACTTCCCACACCTAGGTCCTGGGCCTGGCCCGTGTGAGGCCTGGCCCCACAGCCCCGCTCTGTTCCTCTGCAGGAGGGAGAAGTAAGGTCTTCTCCGCTGTCTTTATTACTCAGACTTGCAGGGAAAAGGCAAAGACCCATGACCACACACTCAGCTTTCACTTCTTATTTCTGCTAAAGGCCCTTGCTGCAGTGAACTGAAGCCAAGCATCCCCCGAGAAGGAGGATCCTGGCCTGCTCGTGGCTCAGGGGCTTGGAGCGAATGGTGGGCACTTGGTTTAGGTTAAGAGATGCCCAAAGGGACTAATGACCCTGGCTCGAGTCAAACACAGGGTACAACAGGAATGGCAAGGCAAGGAGGGTCTGTAGCCTTCCTTGTAGACCCAGCTTGAGCCTGGGATAGAAGCCACGCCTGAGGGGAGCGCTGGAGGGGGCATCCTAGCCACCTGAGGAAGGGAGCACACCCGATGTGGGGATCAGCCTAAGCTTCAGGGGAAGCAGGAGCCAGCAGAAGTGAGAACTGCAGCCAAGTCCCATTCCAGCCTCCCAGGGGCTCCTTCCTGGCTGCAGGCAGCGAGCACGGAGCAAAGCCAGAGAACAAGGGCTCTGCTGTGTCCCACCCCCAACACTGTCTGAAGCCACTGCCAAGCCAGCAGCTCATCTCAGTGCGGCTGCCACAGCCAGCTCTTGAGCTCAGGAAGATGACTCAGGCTGCAGCTCCTAGGTCCTCAGCTGACAGCGCTGGAGGAGCAGGGAGGCACGGGAGCGGAGGCCGTCTAGTCCAGTTCCTGAGCAGCAGGTCAGACGGGAAGCAGGAAGTGCGAGTGTGAGATGGGAACCCAGGCACAGAGCTCCATGGCATGCAAGCTACTCTAACTACCCTTCCTCTACTGCCACACCATCCTCACCTCAGCGCTGTAGCCGCCTCTGTTAGAAGGCCTCATGTCAGGAAAACAGGGGGGTGCTGTGCCCACAATCACAGCTGACATTGAGCCAGGGGCTGTCACAGGGAAGGAGGGCTGGACCCCTACACCCCAGCTCAGCCCCCTTAGCTCATGGCTGCCCGGCTGCTTGCTCCTCAACCAAATCCACCTTCCCCTGGCTGGGTGCTGGATGTGCGGCTGCAGAGGCTGCAGGCTGGGGAGGGCGCGTCTGCCACCTGCACAGGCTGACAATAAAACAGGTGCCTCCTGTGCAAAGGTTGACTGAAGGGAGCTAGGAAAGTTTGTTCCTCCACCCTGGTAGGGACAGGCCTGGAAACACTACACAAAGGAAATCAAACATAAAGGACACAAAGTAAGCAGGTCCTGGGGAAATGTGACTGTCCATGCAGCAGTCATTGCGACCCAGTCACACTCTTTGGAGGGAATTAGCTAATCAATTTGGCTGGT